CTATCTCTCTCTCTCTCTCTCTCTCTCTCTGTGTGTGTGTGTTTGTGTGTGTGTTACTAATCCAATACCTATCCTGTCGATGGTGTTATCTGATGGACCTTGGATTCCATTAGGGTTGTAGACACACCATGGAAGTTGTCTTTTGTTTTGCAGGAACACACAAACACACACACACACACAGACCGCTTCTATGGTATGTCAACAACCCTAATGGAACCCAACATGCTTATTTGCAACATCACAGCAGTTTTAAAGCTGCAGCAATGAGCAAAAGGTTTCACCCTCTGCTGAGTTCTTTTTCCAGACTCTCCAGGTCGATTCCCTTCTCTTCCCACTGTTTAGCATCTGCAAGATGTCCAACGGTTGCGCTACTTCTCTTTGTTTATGACAAAATAATCAAAGGAAAATCTGTCTCCCGGAGCCTTGATTTTCCTTCCACTCCCTGTTTAGCAAGCTTGCTCAAAGGCACTTCAATCCTCACTTTAAATGGTCATCCGTTTGGAAATCCAACCTCACCCCCAGCCTGACACTTCGCAGAGCCCTGTTGGACCAGGGACACTTCTGAACGTTTATCTTTCCCGAGACATCTTTAAACCTTCGGAGGCCAGTTTTCACGCTACTGTGCTGGGCTGACCGATTTATCAATATCTCATCCACCACAGAGTCTTGAAAAGTGACTCCTCTAGATTCTTTTCCCCAGATGGCTGTGATCTTAAGATTGCCCAGAAAGGAAATTTTGCAAGCTGTGATCCAGCACTTACTGGGGTCCGAGAAATCAATGATATCTCCTTAATCAAGGTGTCTCCCCCCCCATTTATACCGCACAGGGAGCGGGGGGGGGAAGAAGTCTGAAATCCTGTTTTGCTTTATTTACCTGTTTGCTCTTCCTCGCTGAAGCCCATAATGCCCATGGCTTCCAGAGTTTCCTGGAACATCTCGTCGTCTTGTTGGGAGGGAATGGGCACGTAACCGTTGGAAAGAAACGTATAGTTGTTGAAACCTTCCAGCAGCAGTTCATCTACAGGGAGGACAGGAGCAAAAGACAGGGGGTCAGGCAGAGGCTGAAAAAATCCAAAAGAATAAAGATCATGGAAAACTCTGCGCTTCCTGTTGCACACAGCCACAGAATCAGAACACACACACACACACACACACACACACACACACACACAAACGATCTTGTTTGTAGCCTCCATGGTCTGGGGCACATCTGATCACTCAGGGGATTCATTCATCCATCCAAATTAAGTCATTCATGTCTAGAAACCCAGTGGCTAAAAGGCCTACCAGCATTGGGACCCTCTCCACCCTGGCCCACCCAAAACCTTCCATGGCACATCACCGGGGAACTCTTACTCTTCATTTGCTCGTTGGCACCGGCGAGCAAATAGTAGAAGATGTGGAAGGTCCTTTCCTCTCGGGCTTGTCGAATTGCACGGGACTTCTCCAGCAAATCTGCCGGCGGAGGTTAGGGAGCCAAACCAAACGTGGATCTTTTCAGCACCAAGGTTTCCAGCTTCCAATGGGCCACCACTTTCCTGGGTTTTCCGTGGCTTAACTATTTCAAGGCAATGGCCCCTAATTGCTTGTTGCTGCATAGCTCAGAGGTTTTGGGAGTTTGATTCCCAGCTAGGCTGCCTTGACATGGGGTTCTTTCCAGCTCCACCTTTCTAATTTATTAATTTATAGCTCAGTGGGTTTCTTTCTTTCTTTCTTTCTTTCTTTCTTTCTTTCTTTCTTTCTTTCTTTCTTTCAGGGTAGCCAGTTGTGAAAACAAAGAGTTAGGATATACATTTATTTGGGCAAATAAATACAATTCCTTTTTTCCTGTGCTCCACACAGACTAACATCACCTCTGACCTCATGGCATCATCTCCCTCATCATCTCCCTCCAGATACGCCATCCCACCTCCCCTCCACCATCTGCTTCTCCAGCGACCATCTTTGCAGCCTCTGTTTTCCCAACACCTTCCTTGTGTCAGTCTTTGGCATTTACGCAGAAGAGACCAACAAGGAGGAACTGTTTCCATTATCTCTTGCTCAGTTTAAACCAAAATGCTTTCCCACGAAGGCAGTGGCACCAGAGGAGACCATCTGGGGCTGGCAGTAACCCTGCACTGGACCCTACATTTACTGGAAATGTTTACATCGCTCTCCTTGGAGAAAACATGCCGGCAACACCATATGGTCTGCATGATTTGAAATAAGTCAGGAGTTCTGATAAGAGCGGGGGGGGGGAGAGGTTTGACGTTGTTGCACCCACAGATCCTCAAGGCCCTTTCACCCCATCCTCTCCAAAGGATACAGGTTTCTATGTTGGCTCCGACAATGTAGCCTGTCACGTCAAAATTGATGCGGATAAATTTGCCCTGCCGGAGAGAAGAGGACCAGAGAACACTCCTATTATGAAACCTTCAGAATCTTTTTTCGGTATCCAGACACCTTCCATTTATAACCCATCCACATTTCCTCCCTGCTTCTTTCATATTTTTGTTCATCACCTCAAAGGCATGAAGAAGGAGGAGATGAAGCACTCGCATACCCTCTTAGCACTGATGGAACAAGACGCCACCTGGAAGCAACCCAGGCTTTACAGCTTTGCTTCAGGATTGGAAGATCTATACGTTTTTTTTAAGATAGCTTATACCAACTTAGGGCCACAGGGTATATACAGAGAAATCCGTTTATAAATGGAGTGCTCCCTCAAATGGCAAAAAAGTTGTAATTGTAAAACTACAGGTGTCATCTGGATTTTGCCTGGAATGTAAACAAAGACTTCTTTTACATGTCTGATTCTGGACATAAGTAATGCCACACTTCTGAGGGAGGAAACATTTTAAGAGCAGTCATATTCCCATTGTATGCCCCCACCCAAATCCCTCAGATAAAACACATTTCTATTAAATGCAGTTGAAACCCCCTGCCCACGAATTTGCTTCTGTCGGCATCCACCTATAATCAGCATCCAGAGCTTCCATGCCTTGAAGGCGGCCACTTACGAATCGGGAGGAATTATCGTTCTTCACAGTCTTGGCATTCCCGAAAGCTTCAAGGATGGGATTGGCTTGTAGCAGTTGCTTCTCTAGCTCACCCTGAAATGAACGGAGATGCTGTTACCCTCAAAAAAGAGAGCAAAATCATCAGCCGTACATTGGTAAACAACCACACCTGAGCCTCACCCAGAGACTTTAAACTGATACTCACTTGGTCGCAGAGAAATAAGTTTGGTTTGGGAAAAATGTATCTGTGTTGTAAACCAGGTCTAAAGGTAGGACTATGTCCACCATGTGCAAAGCAGCCAATGTGTTCAGGATACTGGTGCGTTGCCCAACATGTTTTCTGTTGAGCATGTGATTGTGCAAGGAACTATGAAAAAGTGAGCGCACAAGCTGGCCCATCAGAGTAATCCATCAGAATGACATTTGCCCGGATTTTCAACTCCACCAGCGTGATGCTGGATTTTAGCCACAGGAATGATCACTCCAAAGGATTAGGGTGAGAAACTTGTAGTTATTTCTATTTTCTCACTTTGCCCTGAGGCTGGTACGAGACTCGGCTGGTCAGTGGGATGGGGATTCTGCCATGGGTTTCCAGCCAAACTTTGAAAGAGTTGGTGAAAGGTGGTCAAGGTAGTTTAGGGGCTTCCGATTCAGCACCCCGGACAGCTACCTGAAAAGTGGAACTTAAAGAATTGCGTCTCTGCTGTCTTTCCAGAGCCATCAGTGTCCACTCCAGGCCCCTATGTACTCACCGTTGGCCTTCGGGAAGGGCCGCTGAGTGTGGCGTTGTGGCTCAACTAAAGAAGTCCGTTCCCCTAACTTTGCGGGAATCGAAGGCAACCTGCCTCACTGAGCACGCACACACACTGCTCACCAGCGGGCAGCCGATTATATCCTGAACCTCCCAAGGGGTCAGCAGGCCGAAGCATTTATTTTGCACAAAAATTAGGGCAGGAGAAAATGGCTGAAAATCTTTTACGTATTGCAGCACAAAGCAGAGTAGCCTGCATCCATTAATCAGGTTAAATGCAGGGATGTTGAAAGGTTGGATATGACAATGCATGGCGTATTTTAAAAACAAACGTCACAGGGTTTTGTTTTTCTCTCTCCATGCAGCACACACATGCGGTTACACACTTGCTCACACACCTGAGCCATGCAGCGCAATCCGACAGGCACCAACAAGCCCTCTGCTTTAAAAGCCATGGGGGATGATGAACTGACAATGAATGGCATGAAGGCAGAGTATCAGGATACCTTGTCATCAAAAAATCTCTTGAACTTAAGATCTGCAAAAATCCACTCAATGGACCAGATGCAATGATCGACCAAAAATGTTTCTTTATTCCTTCCCCGACCCACTTGCAAGTTCTCTGAAATAACTACCTTATTTATTTATTTTATTCTATTATTATTAGATTTCTATCCCGCCCATCTAACTCTCCTTGGAGAAAACATGCCGGTAACAACATATGGTCTCCATGATTTGAAATAAGTCGGGAGTTGTGATAAGAGCGGGGGGGGGGGAATTTTTTTGCTGGAACACTTCACAGCAGGAAAATGCTGTGTACCTCCAATGCTGTGACTCTAGGTAGAATCCTTTTCTCTTTGTAACCACTGTGAACGGCGCCACGGTTTGAAAGAAGCTTCTCTTCCCAATCTGCCCACAGATTTATTTGGAAACCTACCCGCCCACCCCTGGCATTATTGGTGAAACAGATCTTTGAGGAAACAGCAAAACCTACTGAAGCTATTTCACCAGAATGAAAAGAATCCATACGACAGGATGTGGACAGTCATCCAAAGTGCCCCTAGCTCTCTTCAACTCTGCATCATATAGACTGCAATGGTCCCCAACGTTGGGTTTCCAGATGTTCTTGGACTACAACTCCCAGAAGCCTTCACCACCATCTCTGATGGCCAGGATTTCTGGGAGTTGAAGTCCAAGAACACCTGGGGACTCAAGGTTGGGGAACACTGATTACAGAGGACCAGAACATGCCTGTTTTTGTTCACCCGATGGTTGGAAGTGTGTAAGATCTGGAATGCAATTTTACACCAACTTTACAGACAGCCAGAGCCTTGGCGGTATTTCAGATTAGCTGCTCCTTGGCTTTTTATGACTGAGCTATGCTTCCCTGCCCAGTCTGAATATCCTCATTTCCCACGACTCTGCAAAGTGCCGGATCAGCGCCCCTAAAATGGCCGAGGGTTCAAGCTTAATCCATTCACAGGAGGAAGGAAGTGCCAAGCTGGTTCGAAGACATGCTGAGAGTTTGCAGAAATCTCTGCAGGAAAGGTTAGCGAGCCCCACAGGAGACGGAAATACAAAAAGAGAGAGCAACATGCGAAGAAACAAGGCGGTTTCAATCAACTACCACACAGTGATTGTTTGGGAGGAAGTCCATCTTCTAACCATTTAGTTTCAAGCCTCTCTTGGCTTCAAGTTCCTGGCTTTAAAAATAAAAAACCAAACTGTCCGCCTCGGGTCACGCATGCAGGCTGATCTTTCAAAGGAAAATCTCCCCCAGCGATGTGATTTGAAAGACCAACCCAATAGCAACCTGCTATTTAATGGAGCTGGAGACACCGATCCTCAAGGGAAACTTAGATAAGGCTGTGCTGGCTGGGGGATTCTGGGCATTGCGGTTAGTTATTTCTATTTTCTCACTTTGCCCTGAGGCTGGTACGAGACTCGGCTGGTCAGTGGGATGGGGATTCTGCCATGGGTTTCCAGCCAAACTTTGAAAGAGTTGGTGAAAGGTGGTCAAGGTAGTTTAGGGGCTTCCGATTCAGCACCCCGGACAGCTACCTGAAAAGTGGAACTTAAAGAATTGCGTCTCTGCTGTCTTTCCAGAGCCATCAGTGTCCACTCCAGGCCCCTATGTACTCACCGTTGGCCTTCGGGAAGGGCCGCTGAGTGTGGCGTTGTGGCTCAACTAAAGAAGTCCGTTCCCCTAACTTTGCGGGAATCGAAGGCAACCTGCCTCACTGAGCACGCACACACACTGCTCACCAGCGGGCAGCCGATTATATCCTGAACCTCCCAAGGGGTCAGCAGGCCGAAGCATTTATTTTGCACAAAAATTAGGGCAGGAGAAAATGGCTGAAAATCTTTTACGTATTGCAGCACAAAGCAGAGTAGCCTGCATCCATTAATCAGGTTAAATGCAGGGATGTTGAAAGGTTGGATATGACAATGCATGGCGTATTTTAAAAACAAACGTCACAGGGTTTTGTTTTTCTCTCTCCATGCAGCACACACATGCGGTTACACACTTGCTCACACACCTGAGCCATGCAGCGCAATCCGACAGGCACCAACAAGCCCTCTGCTTTAAAAGCCATGGGGGATGATGAACTGACAATGAATGGCATGAAGGCAGAGTATCAGGATACCTTGTCATCAAAAAATCTCTTGAACTTAAGATCTGCAAAAATCCACTCAATGGACCAGATGCAATGATCGACCAAAAATGTTTCTTTATTCCTTCCCCGACCCACTTGCAAGTTCTCTGAAATAACTACCTTATTTATTTATTTTATTCTATTATTATTAGATTTCTATCCCGCCCATCTAGACCAAGGGTCTACTCTGGGAAAGAGTAAAGCTATATATTTTACTGGTAAAGCAACTGAACTAGTAACTTTATGAATTACTGTACTTTACAATTATATAATCCAACTGCACCACTCATAATTAAGAAGTCACCTAACCATTGTTTAAAATTTTATTAAAATTTCTGTAGGATGGCCTCCTAGAAAATTAGGAATTTTTTTGAAAGAGTAAAGCTATATATTTTACTGGTAAAGCAACTGAACTAGTAACTTTATGAATTACTGTACTTTACAATTATATAATCCAACTGCACCACTCATAATTAAGAAGTCACCTAGCCATTGTTTAAAATTTTATTACAATTTCTGTAGGATGGCCTCCTAGAAAATTAGGAATTTTTTTGCTGGAACACTTCACAGCAGGAAAATGCTGTGTACCTCCAATGCTGTGACTCTAGGTAGAATCCTTTTCTCTTTGTAACCACTGTGAACGGTGCCACGGTTTGAAAGAAGCTTCTCTTCCCAATCTGCCCACAGATTTATTTGGAAACCTACCCGCCCACCCCTGGCATTATTGGTGAAACAGATCTTTGAGGAAACAGCAAAACCTACTGAAGCTATTTCACCAGAATGAAAAGAATCCATACGACAGGATGTGGACAGTCATCCAAAGTGCCCCTAGCTCTCTTCAACTCTGCATCATATAGACTGCAGTGGTCCCCAATGTTGGGTTTCCAGATGTTCTTGGACTACAACTCCCAGAAGCCTTCACCACCATCTCTGATGGCCAGGATTTCTGGGAGTTGAAGTCCAAGAACACCTGGGGACTCAAGGTTGGGGAACACTGATTACAGAGGACCAGAACATGCCTGTTTTTGTTCACCCGATGGTTGGAAGTGTGTAAGATCTGGAATGCAATTTTACACCAACTTTACAGACAGCCAGAGCCTTGGCGGTATTTCAGATTAGCTGCTCCTTGGCTTTTTATGACTGAGCTATGCTTCCCTGCCCAGTCTGAATATCCTCATTTCCCACGACTCTGCAAAGTGCCGGATCAGCGCCCCTAAAATGGCCGAGGGTTCAAGCTTAATCCATTCACAGGAGGAAGGAAGTGCCAAGCTGGTTCGAAGGCATGCTGAGAGTTTGCAGAAATCTCTGCAGGAAAGGTTAGCGAGCCCCACAGGAGACGGAAATACAAAAAGAGAGAGCAACATGCGAAGAAACAAGGCGGTTTCAATCAACTACCACACAGTGATTGTTTGGAGGAAGTCCATCTTCTAACCATTTAGTTTCAAGCCTCTCTTGGCTTCAAGTTCCTGGCTTTAAAAATAAAAAACCAAACTGTCCGCCTCGGGTCACGCATGCAGGCTGATCTTTCAAAGGAAAATCTCCCCCAGCGATGTGATTTGAAAGACCAACCCAATAGCAACCTGCTATTTAATGGAGCTGGAGACACCGATCCTCAAGGGAAACTTAGAAAAGGCTGTGCTGGCTGGGGGATTCTGGGCATTGCGGTCCAAAAAAATGGGGGGGGNGCGGTCCAAAAAAATGGGGGGGGGGAAGGGAGCAGTAGCATTCTCAGGCTGGGTCCTAAACCAGTTCCGTCTGGAAGCAAGTTAAAAACAGCATAGTTGATTTCCCCCAAGAGAGGACGTGTTCGAAAACGGGAGGCTCCGAAATGTGACGTGCAAATATTCTGGCACCAATCTCGCTCAGATCCCAATGAAGACAAGGCTAACTCCTGGTGATCCCATCGTGGGAGTGGTGACAGGGTGTGCCACACGCATGCAGGTCTACAGTCTTGTGCCTTGACACACACGCACACGCACACACCAAAGGGTCCAAGTTACTCACGTAAGCAAAAGATGGCCCCTGCTGCAGTCAGACAACACGGCGTAAAACAAGCGTCAGTAATCGTAACCACGTTACACTCTGAAATATTATTTTTTTTAAAGGTGCTTTCCAAGTTAAGTTCCCGAAGGTCTGTGCTCCTGGCTCTGTTAGGCAGCGCGTATTTGATGCACAAATTAAGCCAAAAGGACAAACCTGCAGTTCCATAACTGATAGATTGGAGAGACGGCTAAGATGTAAATAAATGTTCCCAGGAAAATAAGAGATGGGGGGGGGAAGGTCTTTAGCCACTCTCCAGCCTCCAGGAGGTAATTCTGAAGGAGCTTCCGTTTGCCTCGTGCTCACCATCCCTCAGTGTCCCATTGCTGGAGGAAGGAAGGAAGGCCCTTTCATTAGAAGCTCTTTGTGCGAATCCTGAAAACGTTCCTTTTTTGGGGAAAAACCACAATTTCCACAACCTACTGACTGTGTGTGTGTGTGTGTGATTCTGTAGCCTCAAACAGTAATATTTCTAAACTTCTGTTCCTGCCTTTGTGAAGACCAGCCTTCCCTAGCCTGGTGCCTTGCAGAGTCACTGGACTACAGCTCCCATCATCCCCAGGCAGCCGATTAAACAAGATGACAACGGCCTCTGAGGCTGGAGGTGGCAGATAGCCATCTTAACTAGTAGTCACTGGGCTGGACCTAACCTCTAAGGATTTATCCAGTCCCCTTGTAAGATCTCAAGTCTGGCACTGCACCTTGTGGCAGGGAGTTCCACTGTCTATCTTTGCCGCATGCGACTAGGTAGTTCCTCTAATCTGCCCTGAACATATGACTAAGTAGTTCCTTTTAACTGGCCAATATTCAAGGTCAGTGGCTAAGCTGAATGAGTTATTACACAGAATATTTTTCCCCCTCCCATCTACGTTCTCCACAACACGGAGAGATTTTATACACCTTGGTCCAGTTTCAAACTGCTCCTCAGATGTCCAGGCTAAAAAGGCCATCTGGGGAGCGGGGGGAACCCGGCGCAGGCAGCCCCGGGGGGGGGGCGATTCCCTCTTGGGGAGCCACATATGGAAAACTATGCACTGCCCCTCTCCGGCTCCTTGCGTGCCGGGGAAAGGGTTGTCAAACAAAGAGGCCCTTTTTCCATAAACACCGAGCTGTGGCCCAGCCACCCTCTCCACCATGTGTCAGCTCTTTGGCAAGAAGCAAAGCGCGGGGGCCGTTTCCCTGCTTCCTGCGCTAAGCACAGTCCTCGGCTCAAGGCCGTCCCGAGGTTGCCCTAGGAGACATTAAAAGGACATTAGGAGTTTCGGGAGAGAGAAAAAAACGTGGCAAAAGGCCACTCCGGCCGAGATGCGTGGGAACCACTTACCGTGATGCTGGTGTCCTTTTTGCCCTTATGGGAGGAGGCCACGACAGCCAGGTACTGGATCACTTTCTTGGTGTTTTCCGTCTTGCCGGCCCCGGATTCCCCTCTGGGGAGAAGAAAGGCGGAAGGAATGCGGTTACCTCTCCAGGCCCCGTCCCCTCTTCGAGATGGGAGCAAATGAACGAGGGAGGGAGAAGCAGCCAAGAACCAAAGGAGCACATCTTTCTTTCAAACCCTCGCTGACCACCCAAAACATCCATCCTTCGACGGCTTCTTACAGGCAACCCGTCCATGGCTTTGCCCTCCAACAGACGGCTTGCCTCCATCAAAGTTCCTTTCTTAGGAACTGGCTCAGCCGTTCTCTCCAGTCAAAACGGCGGACATGCCTGCGAGGTCTCCGGCTGGAGCCAAGTCCTGTGACCAGGATCCGGCCACCCTCCCAGCCTGAGACCGTTCTATGCCAGCAGCTGAACGCTGGGGACGCTCCCTGGGTTGTGGGAACAGACGAGGGAGATGTTGCTTAACCTGACCAGCCCGCGAGGCTTCGAAGCCAGACGGTCCCCAAAGGAAATCGGGACATCTGCTTTCACGAAGGGAGGATTCCACGGATGGAATTCTGACCACGGCAGTCAGCCCTGCTTCCTCCCTTTTGGACGGGCCGCTCTGGGGGAGCCTTGGCAACGAACCACAGAAGCGAGACTGAGGAGGGCCGGCGACTCCGTCACAGACCCTGTTGCAACCCACTGTCTACGGGAGACCCAGGGGACGATTTTGCAAACCTTCCTCGTCCCACAGGTTCTCTCTAGCCAGGACTGGCCACGGGTTTGTTTGTTTTTTAAGCCCAGGGTCCTTGAAAAAAATGACACCTTGTGTTCCTGATAAAACAAGAAAATCTGGAGCCCGGCATCAAGAATATCTGGAAGGGGCTGGGAGTTTTGCTTCTGAAAAGATGGCCAAGCAGAGGGAGAGGAACAGGACAGGGAGGTTTGCGGGTGGATCTGCTCGGGTTCCCTTGAGCCTGGACCTCCTCCACCAACTTCGCTGCAACTCAGCTCCTTTGCCTAATTAGGAGGTGCCTTTTCTCGAACACGGGCCCCTTGATGAATAGGCCTGACCAAAAAAAAAAAAAAAGGGGTGGCGGAAGGCAGAAAGGTAGGAGTGGATTTGGACTGGTGCTCAGCCTTAAAAGGCCAGGCATCCCTCCTGGGTTGTTTCATTATTCAAAACAGCCGTGGCAACTCAACACATCTGTCAAGATCTGCCTTTGCTTAGAGCCACGGTTCCTCACCTTGGGTCACCAGGGTGTTCTTGGACTACAACTCCCAGAAGCCTTCACCACCTGCTGTGCCAGCTAGTGTTTTTTGGGAGTTGTAGTCCAAGAACAGCTGGATGACCCAAGGTGGGGAACTGCTGCCCTAGAGCGTTTGACAAACAAGATGACGGAAGAGGGACTTTGGCGTGCTTTTGGCGCTCATTTTGACTCACAATGGTATCCGGGAGGAATCTCCACCCTTCAAAGATGCCAAAAGAGGGTTCCCCAGGTCCACCATGCCAGCGCCCCGAGAGCAAGGACCCCTCCTTTCTGAAGGCTACTGACAGCACCGCATTTTTGGGTTGAAAATCCCCAGACCGTCCAGGCGCCGCGCGAGTGACAGCTGGAGGATTTTGTGAAGTGAAATCCTAAAAAGGTCCCTTTGTGAGTGTGTGTAAGAGAGAATGAGAGAACATTTCTAGCCTGTCCTGAATGTCAGCTGAACGGAGCACCCATGGCTCAAAACACTGTGTGTGTGTCTCTCTCTCTCTGGATACTTGACACGTTTGTTCGCCTGTACCTACCGGTGGGCTCTCCAAAGGCGTCTCTAACCAACCCCGGCTGCTAAGGGGTCCAGAGGGACTCTTAGTTTTATCCAACAACCCTTTGAAAAATTTTAAAAGGGACTCCTCGGGTTTCTAGAGCTTGTTCTGCCTCTGTCTTGGGTTTGGACTCTCTGGGATGGATGATGTACCCAACCGCTTCACTAAAGGCTGAAGCCGGTTTCATGTCCATGTTTGACCGATAAGCTGTTCTGGGACCAGCTCCAGACTAAACATGCCCCTTTGAAGACGTGTGCATAAAAAGTTTTCTGCATAAATCTGCCTGACATCTTTTTAGGGAGCTGGGCGATGGAGGCTTTCGGCTGCTTCTTCTCTAGCAGTTCCTTCTGTCCTGCCCCCTTTCCATGGGGGACAGGCAGGGTTTCGAGGAGACAACCCTATATTCCTCATGAGTAAATTCAGCAAGGGAGTCTCCTGCGCTCCGAACAGTCACTGGCAAGACAGCCTGACCTCTGTCTCTCTGAATGAGTCCCTGGTCTCACTGGCTGCTTTGCAAGCTGGTGCACAGCGGGAATCTTCCCCTCCCACTACTGACACAGAGAGGCTGGCCTGCCATCGTAACTGGACGGAAACAATAAGCAGGCCACGGGAATGTGCAGGGTCCACTGGAGCTCTCTGGAAGAGTTGGCTGTTGGGCCGGGAGACGTCAAATGGGAAAGTGGATTTATGCNACGTGGTGTCTGCCCTTTAGAAACACACACACAGTCATTCAGGGGGTTGTGGAGCATCAAGGTGAGAGACCGTTTCCCCAGATAATCTTGGAGATGGAGAGAATGGGAGAAATGGAACCACCTTTTGCATTTCTTAACCTTTCCAAGGCATGGAATCAAATGCCTTGATCCGTCACTGAAAGAACCAGCCACGGAGAAGGAGGGAGGAGATCCATAAAGGGGGTCTGAAGGTTTAAATTGGCCGAGGAAGAAAGCAAAACAATGAGAGGGAGGGAGGGAGGGGAGGGAGGAGCTGTCTTTGAAAAAGTCCATAAACCACAGATTTGGACCCTGAAAGCAAACTCCCGAGAGCCTCTTGCTATTTCACCTAGGCGGCTAATTGTATGTAACCTTTTCCCTTGCGATTACAACTCCCATCCTTACTTGGGAATGATGGTTGTTATAATCCTAAAGACTTGAAGGTTTCAGGCTGTGGAAATCTGTTTGAGGCGGTCAACTGACACCAAGACACAGACCAGCAGACCGGTCTCCCAGGGTTGTGGTCGAATTTTTTTTCCCCAAGGGAAAGGGGAACAGAAAGAGGGGAAGGGGGCAGCTACGAAACCGGCTGTACTTACGTGCAAAGGATGGACTGGTCTTCACGATCTGCAGACAGAGGAGGGGGGAGAGAAAGTCATTAAGTTTGGGCAATTCTGCACCCAAGGGATACAGTTCACCCTTTTCTTGTGCATTTCTATCGAGGTGAGACTTGGATGCACAAAACTGCCCTTAACTAAATCAGATGTTGGGGAGTAGAGGCTCATCTCCCTTGGTCCTTTCGATAGATGATGGCACACACCAAATTTAGCACTGCCCGTATTCCAAGCAGATGCTCTGCCATGGAGCCATGGCTCCCCTTGGCTTCTGAGCATCTGGGCAGCACATCTGTCCTGTTTTGTGGTCCACATCACCACTAGATTTATTTTTATTGCCTCTTCCAGGTCAAACAAACATTTGTGGCTTTTTTGTCCTCCGGGACAGAATTTAGGACAAAATGTTAAGAGATGAAAAGATTCTATTTTTGACCTAGAATGAGACAGGAATGCCGTTGGGTCATGATTCTCAGCCTGTGGTCCGTGAACCACCAGGATCATGTTTGCTAGTTAAGCTCGATCTTCTGACCCAGGAAGGCCAAGATGTGGCCCCCATTCTGTTTTTAAAAACTGGGCATGGTCAGCAGACTGAGAGAAGAGAGAAATTGCAGCGGATTTGAAACTGGAGCTTGGGATTTCTGTTTATAGCCAAGTCACGATGGCCCAAATCTCTACAGCAAAAAGAACATACAACCCTGAAGGAGGAGGGCCTGCCTATCGGTCAGCTTTTAACACCCACCTGCAGCACCATAATACTTCTAACCAGTGTGCTTTTCATGTGCCAGCCAAAAGGTTTCACCTTCTCAAATTTAGCGCTTAGCTGGCAGGCTCCTAGAACTAAGGAGCTTAGTGAAGAATCACTACCTTTTCCTCAGCTTCAGATGAAAGTGAGAACTGCCCCTTTTTACTCCTGCTAATGATCCCTGCTGACAGTCTTAATTAGGAGTACTTAACGGAGAGAGAATTCCCGCTAAGCTGACCAACAGCTAACACTAGAAACTAGAAGGACTGGGGATAAACTCTGACACAGAAGACATGCACCTAAATTCTCTCTGCCATCTCATTTGTAGCAAATCTCTCCAAACCCACATTTTATGGTCCTCTGTTCCACACCTCATGTCCCCTATGCCATGCGTCAAGGATGGCCACTCACAACCCAACATCATTTTCTCCAAGGTGGGGACAGAAGAGCATGGAGAAATGACTCCTGCGTCCATAGCATGAGCTAGAGAGCAGTCAGTGGAAATCTTAGGGCAAACTAGTTGGCAGAGTTGGTACATCACTAGAAACGGTGCTCCTTTCAGAGGGAAAAAACATCTGCTTGCTTCAGTGTGAAAGCACCCTACTCTGCATGCGTCAAATCAGCCCACCCTTTGTTCTGTGATTGGTGGTTGGAAGGTAAACACAGGCTTCAATTGCCAGTCAGATTGCTCGGGCACAGAGCTTTTGCATGCCTGGAGGGAAAATATTGTAACAGCTGGACCTGCACATTTCCCTTCATGTGTGATTTAATATTTAGAAGATAGGTCTGTAAGTATGAAATAAAAGAACAATCAAAACCATGCAAGACCCCAAACCTACCGGACCCACTATTTTTTTGGGGGGGGGGAATACAGCTCCCATAATTCTCCCACTGACACATTCATAAAAGCTTTTTGTGATCTCAACTTGTCGCCCGCAGCAGAGATTTCTTGATGCATCAAGATGGGACAGTTCCTCCCTGCTCCCAGTTTGCCACCGGGAGGGAAAAACAAAACCGGTCTTCTGAAGCCTCTCTGTGCTCCCAGTGGCAACCGTCTGGGTCCCTTTGGGAAGTCCAGAACAGCTCATCTAATAGAGCAGAAAAACAGAACCAGTCCCTGCCCGGTACCGGGAGGTAGACTGCTCCAGCAGGTAGAGTCTCCACTTAAGCATCCCACCTAACAGTCATCAGTTGCCACATGCACAAAAGCCAAGAGCAGCGGCTCCTTTTCCTCCTCCTGAACCGAAGATCGGCTGAATCTTGCATCTTTGGAAACGACATTTCCCCCAGGACACCAGAGTTCCCTTCTCACGGTGCCCTGAGCGACTCGGGCCAGTTCCTGTCCCCCTGCTTTCCTCTCTCCCCGAAGACCGGCTCCTTGCTCTGTTGAAATCCCAGCCTGGGATCAGAAGGTTCCTTTGCAAAGAAGCCGTGCCGGGCTGGAAGCTTTACCATAAAAGGTGAAAGCGTTCCAGGCTGCAGCCGGGCATCCTCAGCTCAAAACTGCTCTGTGTTTTTTAATCGCCCCTGCTCCCTGAAGGCTTGCTGGGCTCCCAGCACAGCCTGAGAGAGGATACTGCGGCAGGAAGCGGAGGCTGCCCAGTGGCCACCCGTTCCCTGCCCTGCTCAGCTGGCCCAAAGGTGGCGGGGAAGGAAGGAAGGAGGGAGCAGAAAAGGCAGAGCAGAGATTGGTGGCGAGGGAGTTGCGGTGGTTGAGCTGGCCTGAAGGGGCACAGCATTTTTTATTGTGATGATCTCAGAACTGCAGAGACCCCAGAGGATCCTCCCATCCAGCCCCTGTCCAGGAAGCCCCGTGGGGGGAATCGAACTCCTAACCTTTCTAGTTCCGCAGCCAGAGGCCTCAACCCCTGAATGGACTCACGAGGGGGACCAAATAGGGACAGGAGCAGATCTATCCATGGGGAGGCAATAGGGGACCGGAGAAGGCTCTGGATTCGGCTCACATTTCACTGGTTTAAAGGTTTGTGGAACGGCTGGAGAGTTCAGAGGTTTGGGAGTCTAGCTGGGGAGTTCGATTCCCCCACTGTTGGGCCTCCGGGACAGGGGCTGGTCTAGATGCTCCACAGGGTCCCTTCCAGCTCTGGCCTTCTAAGATGATTATTATTATAGCTGTTAAAAAGGCAACATACAAAAGACCCTGCTGCATTTTCCATTGCAGACCCTTCTTCAAATGAACACAATATCACAAAGGGAAAAAAACCCAGCTTATTATGTGTTGGTACAGAGTATGTCGAGAGAGGAAGGTTGTACGTCGAAGACTGGGCCGAGACACACACACACACCGGCTATCTTGTACCTATGGGGAAAGTAACATGACCATTTCTTGCCAGCCCCATCATCCCATCCCTGCTAGACCCCCACAAAGCGGTTCCTCCACAGGAAGAGGCTGCTGAACGTGTCCAAATGCCGCCAGGGAGCCTCCGGCTCTCAGGAACGCCTGCTCCGCCCCAGATCGGGCTGGGAGCGGAGAGCTAGAAAGTTGGAAGCTCCCCGTGTAGCGGAGACAGACGTTAGCACAACAGCGCTAGGGCGGCATCGGCAAGGGGGCCATCCTTGGAAAATGGCTGTCGAGCGGCGAGGGTTCTGGTAGGGCCCTCTTGGGTAGAACTATTTCCTCAGAATGCCAGCCGACAGGCACGCCTCGGCACGGAGGGGCAACCGAATCGTTTTCCCTTTTTGAGTCATGCCGTGGCTGCAGCCGATGGTGAAGCCGGGCCAAGACATTCCTTGAAATGTTCTAGCAAGCCCCCACCTTATGAAACCAAGATAGAAATAGAGATTAGCTCAAGACACTAGGAGACTTGGCACCGAGGATTCAAAACCCATTAATCCGCTCTTCTGAACTCTCTCTCACCACATACACACACTCCGCGCCATGCTGGGTAGCTGAATGGAGGTGCCACGACGTTTAGGCAAGCGCTCCTTGGTGGGTCGTGCCCTAGGTATTCCATCGCTCTGCCTGCTGCTCTTTACGGTACCCAAAAATGGCCACAGCATCAACAAGAATCCAGAAACAGGACGACTAGGGTCTACAACTCAGGAAGTGGCTGGTGATCACGCTAAACTGCCTCCTGAAAGCAGGCGACCCCCCCCCAACCGGAGGGCGAGGCTGTGGGCCAAGGACAGCAGGAGGGCGTCCCTTGACTGCAAGTCCCATCATCCTCCATCAGTACAGCAAGGGGTGAAAGGCTGATGGGAGAGCCACCCAAGAACATCTGCAGGGCAGCACGTTGGCCTCCTTTTCGTTCGAGCAGGCAGCGGTTTCCCAGCCCAGCAACCCACGGGTTGACGTGCCACGTTCTGTCCACAAAGGAAGTGCTGCAAGCCCCACGCCTCCGAGTCATGACCTCTCCCTTGGAGACACGATATCATGGACGAAGATCACTACGGGGAATCTGGCCACCTCGGTGAGGTCATCCAGGGCCTCTCTAAAGCTCTGCTATTTGATCTTTTGGACAGACAGGAAAGGGCAAAGACAGAGGGGTTAAGCAGACTTTGCGGGGAAGGTGTATTCCCTGAAACTGACACACTTCCTTTCTCCCCTCGGGAGTTTCCCTCCAAGATGCATCCTTCAGCAGTGGGACGTGCAAACAGAGTCCATGTTTACTTTCCAGTGACCAATCACAAAACAGAGCACATTAAATGCAAGACAGATGGGTTAAGGAGAAACCACGTGCTACGAGAACCATCTTTCCCCCAGGGGGGAGCACTCCTTCTAGAGATATGCTAAGTGTACATCTAGTTCTGCTCAAAAAACAAGTGCCCTGGAACAGATGCCGACTATTGGCCAAGACCATACGTTCGTTTCCCACGTTCCTTTCCACATTCCTGTTTTTGCTGAAGAAACCAAGATCCAGCCATGGCAGTGAATTAACGTTCCTTTCGGAGTTTCGCAGCGCTGAGGAGAGGCTCCCCCAGCCTTACCTTGCAGCATGCTTCTGTAGGCCGTGTCCGCAATGGCGTAGATATGGGGCGGCATCTCGTGGCGTTTCTTCCCTTTGTACATGTCAATGATTTTCTCCGAGTAGATCGGCAGCTGCTTGTAAGGGTTGACAACCACGCAGAAGAGACCTGAGTAAGTCTGGAAAGGAAAACCCAGCAGCGTTGACATCTTTTCCCAGGACTCCCCTAAACAGGCTTCAGCGATCACATCATCCCCCCACCCCAAAGGATCTGGAGTTTTTCAGAGGGGGAGGATAGAATATGTAGTAGCAGCCTGTCCCTTTTATTGCCTAGGATGTCACGAAGACAGGCATCGCTTGGTGGGACCCTATGACCCGACATCTGACTAGCTCAGGAGAAGGACAGTCATGTCCACAAACGTTCCTCTCTCTTTTTGGACTACATGTCCCTGAATCCCCTCTGCCAGCATCGGCAGCAGCTAGGGGAGTCTGGGAAAGGTAGTCTAAATAGGAACATGTCCCAAGTTCTCTAAGAGTTGTCCTTTGGGGCGTGGGTGTTTTTCTTCCATCCTCTTCTCCTCTCTCCCTCTTTTCCTCCTACTCTTGGGCAACTTCTGGGGCCAAGACCCCCCCCGGCTCAATGCCCCCCCCACGTGGGTGTTTCTGAAAAAAATCTCCCTCTTTCCACTCCCTGCCTCCCTCTCCTCCTCTTTTTTTAAAAAATCATCTCTTATTCAAGCTCCCAAGGAAGCAATTAGTGAAAAACATCCAAGCTGACCTTTAAAATCCACGATGTCCTTCAGCCGAGATCTGAAGGCTGGGGTTCCCCTTTCCTGACCATATTAGGACACAGACCAAAAGTTTTCACACAAACACAACACTTTATATGGCATGAAGCAGATGGAGACCTATCTGCTGGCAGCGGGCTGGAGGCCTGTGGCCACGGATGCCCTGCGCTGGGGCGCCGTGGTCTCTCGGTTCTCTTCTGGCACGGAAAAATCCTATGCATGTACACACGTACACACACATACACACACACCTGGGTCGTGTGGGTCCCCCAAACCAACGGAGCCCCCTTTGCAGAATCAGCCCAGCCTGAGCAAACTCAAGGCTTGGTTCACAACTCGGAAGGGGTCACAGCCGGCCAGGAATCGGTCAAGCCGTAGGTGGCAAAAGGATTCCGGACCGGGTGGATCTCCATCCCCTTATGCTTTATGCACAGCGGATGCGCTCGGTTGCCCGCTGAGCGAATAACCGACAGCGGTCCACGGGGCGGAGGAGGAGGGCAGCTGGCGGTTTTCGCACTCCGTTGGCAGGAGGTTTTAGAAGATGGGTCAGCCAAATTGGACAGGCCACTCCCTGGCTTAAAAAAAAATGAAAGGAGAGCTGGGGGGCCTTTGCGATTGTGGCAGGGTGGGGTTTAGCTGTTTCCCTGAGCTGCTATCTGGACAGCACACATCATCATCCTCTTAGAATGGGAGATCTGGAAGGGGACCGTACGGATCCTCTGAGTCCAACCTCTGTCAAAGGGAGGCCGAATTGGGAATCGAACCACCAACCTCTGGCTCTGCAGCCAGAGACCTAAACCACTGAGCTGTCCAGCCAGCTAAATTGCTGAATCCTCATTTGGATGTTTCCCATCCTCCTCCTCCTCCTCCTCCTCCTCTTAGAAGTGCTGAGCTAGAAGGGACCCAATAGATCATCAAGTCCAGCCCCTCTATCTCTCTGTCCCCCCCCGTGTGTGTGTGTGTGTGTGTGTGTGTGTGTACACACACACACATGTACAGGAGGGAGGAGGCTTCTGGGAAGCAGATTACAAAACAGATCAACCAAGGGCCCCTTGCAATTTCAACAATCCTCAGCAAAACAAAACAAATCAAATCAAATCAAAACAAAAAGAAACCAGGGTGGGCCAGTGGTTGCCTACAGCGTGCTGATGCGCTACAACTCTCCGTTAAAAGCTTAATTGAGCGACGTCTAGAGGGCCACAGGTCTGGCTACTCCCCGTGCAGAGACAAAACAGCAAGACCCCATCCCACCCCCATACATGTGGCTGTGTTGAGCTGCAATCTGCAGATGTTTCAGCCAAATCAAAACATGGTTTGTCTTCAAGAGGCTATGAGATGGTTAGTTTCGCTACAGTGGAAGAACATAAACCCCCACCACCCCTTCTCGAAAGGTCTCCTTTTGCTCTTCTTCCAGAGCCCTCGCAGCCTCTCCGAGATGCCCAGGGTCTTGCGTGGGAGGGAGTCTCCTGGAAGGCCTCGCAAGACCTGGGGCTGGCCTGGCCTACAGAGAGGGGGGGGGGTAAGAGGCGGCAAATCCCTCTAACTCTACACCCCGGCGTGTCTGTTCTCAGGACAGTCCTCTAGAACCACCACCTCTTCTCGGTGGGCAGGCGCTGATCTCAAACCTGGGATATTCCCTGCCAAAGTTGAGGCTCTGAGACCCACCGGGGGAGCAACTAGATGCCCAGAGAATTGAGTCCTGGCCACCCGCCCCTCGGGATGGATGCTTTAATCCGAACCACCAGTTGTCAGCCCAGGCGTAAAAGGGCTGGTGTGATGGAACTCAGGACAAGGGCCGACCCAAAGCAAAGGGACCTGTATTGTTGTTATTATTATTATTATTGGATGTAAGTCTAACACCCAGCAGGGCCCCTCCAGCTCTCTGACAGCAATTATAAGCCACCCAGCCTCTGCTCTCATGTCAGGGATCCCCCTAAATCTGCCCGAACGTGGCCGCCTGTCTCCCTCTGCACCCCCGTAGGGCCGGGCTGGCCGAGGGGGGGGCTCCTGGGCGACTCACATAAATGAGGCCCGAGAAGTATCTCTCCCGGAGGTTGTGCAGGACGGACGCTTCGTTGAGGCAGGTCAGCTCGGCCATGTCTTCCACCTTGGAGAACTTCGGGGGGTTCATCTTCTGGATGTCGTCCTTGCCGAAGGTGGCTTTCTTCCCGTTCTCAGCCAGCTCCACCAGCACCTCGTCCCCTTTCTCCTCCTTGACGCTCGCCGCCTCGAACCCATGCTTCTCCGAGGGCACCCAGACCAGCTTCTTGGCTGACCAGTCGGCCTGGGCCACCGTGCTGTTGATGAGGTTCTTGTCGACAAAGAGGAATTTCTCGTCTTCGCTGAGCTGGCCTTTCTGTGCCATTTTGGCTCAATGGGCACCTGCAGTAGGAGGCAGTGGATGGGAAAGGGGGGGGGAGAGGTTTTTTAAGAAAGACATTTCCACTTATTCTTATTTAAGTCACTGCTCAGGAAGGCTAAAATAACAGGGTCCTCTCCTCACTCCCCCAAGACATTTTCACTTATTCTTATTTAAGTCACTGCTCAGGAGCAGAGTCCTTGCTCAGAAAACTCTCAGTTCAATCCATGGCATCTGTAGTCAAAAGGTACAGACAGACATGGACAGGATAGGGAGATAGTCTTCCCAACAGCCCTGCCAGGTTGGCCTGTACAGAATCACTGGTCAGCTCACCTGGGGTGAATCAGGACAAACTCCAGGTGAATGGTTAAGCAAACTTTTGAAAATTAGACAGAAACGGGTGGATGGAAGTGGACATATCCATAAAAGTTCACATTAATGAAAGATAAAAATTAGTCTTTAAGGTGTCGCCGTGTTTTAATCTTTTAAAGAAACTTTTTATTTCTATTTTGCAGAAATTGATGTTTTCTTCCTTGATTCAGTGCAAAGGGAGATGTGGGAAAGTCTGTGCCGCTCTGGGCAAAATGGACCTTTCCTCTTTTTTTTAACTCTAACCGTCGGAAACCAGCATGGCTCCTGGCTGCATAGTTCCTGGAAAGATATTCCAAAAACGGAACTCCACACACACACACACCCCCCCACGTTCCACCTACCATGGTTTTCCAGATTCCAAGTACCGTAGCTTCCCTCTTCCCATCCGGGACCAGCAGGCACTGAAGTGTGAGGAAATGTATTTTACACACACCGGTGTTCAAGACCTCCAGCTACTCTGGGGCCCATCATCCACAGACTTTGCTAAGCAATCCTCCTCACAAAGCCGATGGGCTCATGGAGAGGAGCAGGTGAACGGCGAGAGGATTTGAGAGGTTTTGCCTCTTGGCTGGCACTTAGGTTATAAAGCTCAGAAATGTCCTGAGCCCCATTGCCATCATCATCACCGCTTTCACCCCATACATGCAGCTAAATCATCAAGGACAGCCAGGTGAATCGCAGCTGGGCTTGGAATTCAAACCACAGACTCTGTAGGTTATGAAGGCGAGAAGAACTTTAGCTGGTTTGGAGCAAAGGTCTGTTAAACCTCGCACTCTGCTTCCCACAGAGGACAGCCAGATGTCTCTGGATGCCTGAGTGCAGGGCATGGAGGGAACTGACCACCCATACTCTGGCCCCTAGCTGTGGACATTCAGATAGAGTGCTTCCAAATACAGAGGATCCACTCCTGGCTACCACATGCACTGCCAACGGATGGACCTCCGATAAAAGGGACATTCCCAGATTAGAGCCAAAGTCCTCCAGTGACTTCAGCATATTCTGTCCTTAAGCGGCAGGCCTTATCCCACAAAGCTGAGCGTGAACGCAGCAATGAGACCCGTTTCTCTTCCTCCGCTCTCCACCCCCTGACCATTTGATATTTCAAACTTCCTCTGATTTTATTTTTTAAAACGTTGTATGATCTCAGCGATCTCCCCCACAGCCGTCAGGGTGGCTCGCACAGAACCCCTAGCCAGCTCGCCTGGGGCGGCTCAAGACAAGCTCCAGGAGAACAGTTAAGCAAACTTTTGGCAATCAGGCAGCAGCGGGTGCTTTCTTTCCTGACTCTGTGCAAAAGGAGACGTGGGCAGGAAGGTTAGAAACACCTAAGGATGTATATGTATGAGCACTGAGATGCAGCGTGGCCTTTGCTCAAGATGTGGGTTTGGGCAAGAGATATTTCTCACATGATCCTGCTCGCCCCATCAGGTCTTCAATGCAGGCTACCCTTTGCGCCTTGCTGATCAAAGCAAAATACCACCATGCCCATTTTACAGAGAGATCACTAAGGTTTCTATAAAGAGTTGTCTAGTGCTACCTGGGGAATTCACAGTGTTTAGATGGATCGAACCAGGGACTTTGTGGTTTGCATCCTTAGTTCCCTACATGAGAACACTTCTCTTGACTAGAGGGATCAACCCACCCATTCCAAGTCCCATTCTGGGACTCAATGCACACTTTTAAAGGATGGTTCTTGTGAACAGCTTTCAGTAAGATTGTTGCCAAGAAAGTGCACACGCTTCTCAGTAGGGTTTGAAAGCCTGCTCTCTTTGCTGTCTCTTTTCAAAGCTTAAAGAGAAGAGAAATTAACCCACACCAGCCCCATCGTTAAAGAGTCAAAGCCATTTTGTAAATCTCCCTGCAGGACTGGATCTGTCTGGACAGAGCTACCCAGACTACCATATAAGGCCATGTTCTTCTCATTAATAGCTGATCCGGCCAAAAAAACAACAGGAAAAACTTACTGATAACAAGCTCAAAACAAATACCTTTTAGGGAATAACAAAGTCCGTGGCAAAGGCAGTAATTTAAAAAAGGATATATACTGTTTACGTCCAAGCCAGGACAAACGCAGAAAGAACACCCAAAGTGTGTTGGTGCTTCTAATTAGGGGGGGAAATGTACCAAGAAGGATGGTATTCAGCTTTCCAAGATGCCCACCTTTTTGAGGAGTGATGAGTTTCATCAAAGTCCTTTTTAAACCAGATATATGCAAAAGGAGGCATCTTCGTGAAGGCAGCGTTTCGACCACGTTGCAAATGCAAGCTTCTTTTAGAGTTGACACGAGGGTGTGCCATCCCTGGGCAACTTAGCAGGATGATGATGGAAATAAAAAGGGAAGGGATCCCTTAGAGGGACTAGTTTGGGTATCACGCTTCCCACCCCCATCCCCCACAGGTGCATATCTAAAATCATGTAACCTGTGAAGAGGACTGACCACACAGAGGGGCCTGGGATTCTTGTCACAGTGCCAGGGACACAAGTGCAAAACCAGGTCCTTAGCCACATAAGGTATGGAATGGGCCTTCTTTGGAAGCTGGGCCATCAGGCAAGGCAGCCCTGTAATTCTGCAAGCAGAATCTCATCTCAGAGTCTCTTCGACTGCCACCTACTGGCTTCTTCTTTTGCTCACACAGATACTCAGTCCAGAGCTTAAGACCTTCCTTGGTTAACTTTTGCATACCCGGGAATCCTCGCCCTCATCTTCAGTGAACAAACCAAAGAAGCCCACGCCATTAACCAGACACCCTCAGCATATGCCGCTGTAATTTTATGCGCTAATCCGTTTTTGACTTTCTTGCTACAACCGAAGATGGAACGGATGGGAATCGTAGTACATACAGTTCTCCCATTAGTTCAGGGGCTTCTCTGACCAGCAGCTGTCTTGCAGGGGGAATACTTTTGAGTAAGCGGCAAGCAACACATGAATTTCCCTGAAGCAACTCACTGTGATTCTTGGGTACATTGCAAAAATTACTTCTCTTGATATTATAACACCTTGATCCTTCTTTTTGTCGTCATCCTCATCTACATTTCTCTTCCTTGAATCTATCCTTGATTGGAAACTCTGAAAAGTTTTACATTTCTTTACTTTGCATCGCTACTTGGTTAGTACGGAAGTAGTACACCCCGATGCCCTTTACTTCTTTGCCTAGTTAGGTAACAACAATTATCTTCTCATCAATGCATCAACCTCCCGCCCCATTACGGCATCGTCTTTTAAAAACAACAACAGATAACTTACTGGAGGTGGTGGAAATCTACCTGCCACAGAATGCTCTCAGCCAACACTCTGTGCATTCCACCCACAACCCCCAGGGGAAAAGTATCTACCTAATTGCAGAGAGAGAGAGAGAGAGAGAGAGAGAGAGAGAGAGAGAGCAATTAATATGGATTGGATAGCGAAACAGTGGTAGCAGCAGAGCATGCAGTTCATGGCAGGAGCAGCTTAGCATCAAGAATTTCTCCGCTGTCAATGGCTACTTACAGAGGTCCAATCTGTCAAAGCTGGAAGGGTATTTTGGAGTCCCGAACCGGCGCTGCTGGCAGCAGGGGCAGACCAAGACGTCCGGGGCTTCGCCGGCTCCTTATATAGTAGCCCCAGTGGGGAGGGGCCCCGGAGACCACCCCCTGCCTGCCGGAAAAATTTGTGGGGGGCTAAAACATAAAGGCGCAGAGAGGAGACATAGTCCAGCTTTCAGGTGGATGATGAGCATCCACTACTCACAATAATGCCTTCTCTCTCTCTCTCTTCTCTTCCTGATATTTGGGGCAAAACTTTCTGGGATGGCTAAGGAAAAAAAATTCATGCACACACACATAAACACACATGCGCCTTCTCTACATGTCTTTTAAAAAGCCATTTCCCAGAAAGGGAGCTTTTTCTGGTCCGAAGCAGCGATAAACCAACCCTCCTTAACCCCTTCCTACATCTGGCGTGCAGAAGGAAGTGCTGTATCAGAAGAAGGCAGCGGCGGATAAGAAAAGCAGCCCTAAATTTCTCTGGGGCAATTAATGCCGCCTTATCTATCCGCAGCTTTTTGATGTCCGGCTCAAAAGCCGAGGATAAAATATGCTCCGTTCCGTGAGAAGGGTCTGGGCGGGAGAAGCGGATGGACCTTCCCAAGATCAGACCAGGCCTGGATGGAGACAGAGAGAGGTCTCCCCACATCCCCCAGTGTTTATGTAACATTTGGGAACCCTGGGCTGTTTTAAGCTTGGTCTGTCCCACGGGAACAAAGGGGTCATTTTTTCCCAGCTTTTTTACTCAGGCTTGCCGAAGTGGCTGCACGTCGGGTGTCCCAGCTCTTGAGAAAGTTCTGTAAATAATTGTACATATATAAATACCTCCCTCTGTCCTTAAATGGGAAAAGATAGCTGTTAAATGGGCTTGTGGGGCATCGGAGTGGGAGGAGGAGGAGGAGAAGAGAGGAAGGGAGGGAAAGGATGGAGCCTGTACTGCGGACAGGAGGCAGAAAGCGCCAGTAGCCAGAGACGGAGTGAAGGGCTTCCTGCTGCAGCCTGCTTATGGGATGGAGAGGAAATCTGGTACTCATCAAGTCCCTGAACACATTCAACCTCTTCTCCCCCCTCCAACCGTGCACATCCAAACAAACTCCATGTGTTCTCTCCTCTCCCTCGCCCGGGCCGGTGCATCACCTACATCCCAAAAAGGCTATGCCTGGGTTCTCCAGGAATTCCCGTCAACATGCTGGATGCAAAGTGCTCGAGCTGAGCCACCCTCACCAACAACAGCCCGGTTCCATACAGAGGCAGCAGCCTAAATATGGAGACTGCGTCGAAGCGGAGGACCGAGGGAGAAGCCGTCAGGGGAAAGAGCTCCCAGCAAAGGGTGCCGTCAAGATGTCCTCGCCCAAGAGAGACGCCCCAGCGAGCGGGAGACCTGGAGCTTCTCTGCGAGACCCCTGGCTCAACGGAGGAGCCCCAGGTTCGGCCGCCACCCACTGTCCGAGGTTTTGGCCAGGGGGCTGACCCGGCCTCCCCTGGGGACACCAGAAAGGCACAAGCTCTGGCATGTTCTACCAGACCAATAAGGCTTTTGTGGGTGCCCCGAATCCCAACCGAGGACTAGCCCAAGCATGGGAACATTTATCTCTGAGAAGACTGTCCACCGCAAGGGGTCAATGGGGCCACCAAAACTGTGAACACAAGAGCTACGTGGAATAGTCATGATCTCTATTTGTGCGTGGGGGGGGGGGACAAGGTATGTCCTCTGCCACAAAATCTGGCCACCGAGGGCCATTTAGTGCCAGGAAACCTGGGCAGGAGAGACAAGGATTTGCTTGTTTTACAAGGAGATCTCATCTGCGGGGAAATGTCCCCTAGCTGTGTATGTTAAAAGTGTGTTTTTGGACCAAATTAAGATCCACTTGGATGGCAAGTCCCAGAATCCTCCAATCACCATGGCCGTTGATCCAAAAAGAGTAACTTTTACAAGCTAAAATCCTTGGCCCATTTGCCAGTTCAAAAAAGGGCCACAGGGTTGGGATAAATCTCTCTGCCAAAGAAGAACCAACGTGAGCACGAGCAGGCACCAGACGAAGTGCCTGAGTCACTGATGCCAGAAAAAAAGAGGAAGGAAGGAAGGCAGACTTAGGTCATAGTTGCATCCTGGTGTTCTCAGAACACAACTCCCATCCTCCTTCGCCACTGGGCATGGTGGTGGGGATGATGGGAAATGCAATCAAAGACATAAGGATTCAAGCTAGGCAACAGATGAGCCACCTACTGTTTAGGGACTACGAATCCCAGAAACCTCCACCTAGCACAGTTCACGGCTAGGGAATGCAGGAGGCTGTGGTCCAAAAAGAGAGAGAGAAAAAAGTAACTTCCCCAAATCCTAACCAGCCACATTTCCCTCTTTCCACGCAAGCCTGCTGCTGTGGACAGGAGGAGTCACCCAAGACTACATTTGGGGGAATTAATGGTCTCATAAGATAACCACAGCAAACCCCCTCCTCCAGCAAGATCACTCGGTGGTGTTCCCGAGAAGAGCTATAAAGCTATTTCATAAACATTTCTCCGCCTTTCGATGGCAGCAACTTAAAAAGGAGTGGAAATTCTTTTCCTGGCCTCTGCGCTCACGTACGTCTGGACGAGGCAGCTGGCAGAGGAGGAAGGCGAGCACAACGAAGAGCAGAAGAGGAGCGCAAGGATGATTTATGGGGCAACGGCAGACTGGACTGGAAAATTTTGACCAAGGGAAGAGTCCGAGGGTGCCTGAGGCTCCTACCTCCCGGAAGCCGAGCTGGTTTGGTCCATGCCTGGAGGGAGGACCTCCTTTAACCCTGCACACCTGCCACCCTGAGAGCCAACAAAGCGGGCTGAAAATAAGCTAAGCTACAAGATGTCACCGGGTCTCCGTCCGGATCTGCAGGAAGTCATGTACCTGGGGGGAGGTGACGGATCCGCCTTCCCCAAAGTCTATGGGACCAGGAAAGCCTGGGGTTCAAGTCAGGCTAACCGGAGGAGCTGCGGTGCCCGTGCTGTGCTCCAAGCAGAACGCCAAGGGCGGTGAAGTACCGATCCCCAAGGCCCTTTTTTTCAGTCCTCACGTACCATCCCTGCAGGACAGCTCAGGAATAAAAGTGGATCGCTTTGCTGCTTTAAGGAGGGCAGGACGCATGGCCAGGCGCCGTGGATCCTCCATGCTTCCTTGCAGCTGCAAAGCTAACAGCCAGGGGTAAGACTGGGGGAAGCGGTAAGGCAGTGGGGGGGGGGCATCTGGGAGCGCTGGAGCTGCCTTAGATGATTACAGCACTTGGACAAACCCTTCTGCACCTTTCACTGTTATTAATCTCACAAATTTCCTTCAAGGAACAAAGAGCAGCCCAGGATTTCCCTTCTCCCTGTTTAAAAATCCTCACAGCCACCCTGCGAGGTAGGTTAAGCTGAGCAAGGGCAACTGGGTCAAGATTACCAACAAGCTTCATGGCTCCGTGGGGATGCAAACCAGGGTCTCTGCTGCAAGGTGCCTTTGTATGGCTCACTTTTTACTGGCTTTATCTCCCAGGAACTTTTCCCCAGCCGTACTTTTCAGGGTACCATCATCTACCAGTCAGAGTTGACAGCACTGGGCTTGAGGGAGGCAGGAATCTGAATCCTACTAAGCCAGTCTGTTGATTCCTCTGGTAACTCACTGCCCACTCTTAAGCGGTAGCAACAATTCTACAGGTTTGCTTTGTCCACATGACTTAATGTGTTTCTATGAGGATGGCAGAGCAATTCTGCAACACGCAGGCTGTAAGAGTCACCCTAACCCACACTAGAAGTGTTGTTTTGTGATTTGGGTGTGGCATGCCACAGTTTCCACAGTGTTCACCCCACATCCTGTTGATTTCAGCCCCTTTGGATGTTTTCATTCCCCACTCTACCAAACTAGCTTTTCACGTGATTCTAAGAAGCAGCACCGACACTTTGCCCAAGAAGTCTGAATGTTTATGAGCATTCCAGGATTTCACAGTTGCAACTCAACCAATAGCTAGCAAAAACCACAAGCTATAAACTGTCTGACGCCTATTTTATATGCAGATCCTACATTTCATCTCAGTTTCTTTGGACTTTTTCATCCCATGGGAAAAAGAACAAGTTCTGTGATCTGCCTCCGATACTTGTTTAGGCCAGGCAGCTGTTATGGAGAGTGGACAAGCTAGGGCCTCAAACTCTCCTCTTTATCTCTGGCACATAGCTTTATAGGCAGAGCATAAATTCATTTCTTAGTCTGATTCTACCATCTTAGGCGGGTAGCCCCGCTGCGGCCCTATCTCGATGTTGGGGCGCTACACATAGCTTTATAGGCAGAGCATAAACTCATTTCTTAGTCTGATTGTCCAGAAAAATAGCTTTACAAATCAAGTTGTCTCTTCTCAGGGTTGGTTCCTGAGAGGAGGAAACTAAAAGGAGAGCAATGAAGTTTAAAGCTCAGTTACGCTCCAAGCAGCCACAACCCACCAAGGCAACAGCTTTAAATTAAAATATGCCTGGAAATTGGTTCTGAAGTTATAGAATGCACTCTGGCTCTTCAGCAATGGAAGAAGGTGGATGAATGACCCAAAGCAGAATATGACTAATTCATTTCCCACCCAATGGAGCGTGATTCTATTTCTGCCCCATCAAGGTAGTGATCAGATACTTTGGTAACTCAAAATTTAATGTAAGTTTCGGATGTATTTGTATGAAAAAAAAGAGAACTCATCAGCAAGACAAACAGCAGAAAGGCTGGGTACTATGAAACAGTAGCCATTTGACCCTTCCAGATCTGGGACCCTAACCTTTAACCTCAGGTATTATGAGACCCTCTTAATACTGTGTTGCACACTATGCTATGCAAGTACTGACCCTGAGACCTGCCCAGCTCAGGCCAGCCTAAAAACCCAAAATATGCGCTGACTTGGTTGTTGGAAAGCAGTGTGCTAAGGCCTGTCAAAAACGGACCCTGCTTATGCGGAAACACAAGCGCTGTTTGACCTACGAATATATCCTACTGTGCTGGAGCGCTGGCAGGCAAGACTACCTGGACAAGATCCGCTGAGCCGGCCTCCTCGAGTAAGGCCAGAGGTAGATGTGGCCCTTGCTTGTTTTAGCAACAAATCCTACTAGGACATAAGTGGGTATTTCACACAGTAACCAACAGCTGATTTGCACAAAACATTACGTGACTGTTTATTTCATCTGTGTATGTTTTGCGAAGGGAAGGCATCCTTGAACCTTGCGCCAGCTGTGTCTCTTGGCTCCAAAGAAGCATCTGAAAATTAAAAAAGAAAAAAAAAGATGGTGCGAGAGCCAGGGGTGTGTTCTTCTTTTGATGAGGGACTGCAACACTATGCCCTGGAGGAAGAGAAGCAGTGCCCGCTCTACAGCAGACTAGTGAAGCCAATCATATTTTCCACTGACCTCTTCGTAATCTAGATAAGTATTTCTACGTACATCTCTTGGTAGCTAGCCAGATAGCTTTCTCTGCATGGAAAGCAAACATCTAAGTGGAAGGACCTTTTGTTTAAATTTATGCCGGTGACCTTCCCAAGGGACTGTACCTTAACAAGATCCCTTCCAATATTAAAGTACAAAGAAGTTAAAATCACTATAGCGGGAAGACACCTCAAGCACCTGAGCAGGTAAAAATCCTAGTTCAAAGCAGAGATGCAGAAAGCCTGGGAAACCAAAAATGTTTCCCCGCTGCTAATGTTTGACACCGGGAAGATCCCTCTAAGAAAGCTCCCAGAGGGACAGCTGGGCTCGTATGCAGTCTGGCCTTGTCTGGGGATGTCTTAAGGATGGATATGTTTCATGGGGTTTTATGGAATGCAGGCCACATCCTGAGGTATGCTATGCAAGAAAGGGGCTGAAGTTCACAGACGTGTCAGATTTTAAAGATACCTCCCTGGATGCTTTGGGAATTGTGGGAAGAAATTCCTAAACTAGAGGAGGGCTATGAAGAACGGTTTCTGGTTCACTGCTGCTCAGCTCTCAGTTGACTGTGGCAGGATATCCAGCACAGGGCTGAACACGCAGCTCTTCCCACGCAGGTGAGCTCAAGTGGGAAGCCAGGCCCCTAGCTCTTGAGCAGCTCCCATGAGGGGATGCCTCAGCAGCAGAAATCTCTGCCAAGCACACACATTTCAGCATCCAAGTGGCAAGCTCTCGTCTCGAAACGAAATCTTTCTTTTCCATCGCATTCCCCCCCCCCCCCCATACCTATTGGCATCCTTTCGTTGGATGGCTTGCTGAGGTTCCACTTTGAAAATGGCAAGGACGATGCTTTGGGAAATGCAGAGCTAACCTTGTTCTCATTCCCATGTAACAGCTGGGCTATAATTCCATATAGAAGTGGCCTGTTGAAAGGAGACAGAACCCTTGAGGAGGGAAAGACAGAGGAACTGAAAAGACGTGGGACATGGCAAGGGCCCGTCGGCAGCTTACATCCCCCACAAATGGAGAACCGGTGGGGGGGGGGAAGCTATATGACGCATCAGCAGATGAGATCGTGGCTTTCTAATGGTTATCTGCCTATTCATTAGCCAAGTGTCAATTTTATTCACCAAATTACAATTTGGCCAGCATAGTTACTACAGCCAAATATTAAACACCAAAACTGAAGTCCAACAGCATTTTGCCAAAAATAATACTGTTATCAGTAGCCTGACCCCTGCATTTAATATGACCTCTTTCATCCAATGAGATTGATTCACTGCAAAAAATACACAGCTATTAATGATACAGCCTCTAAAATACAGAACCAATCCACTATGCAGAATGAAAGGTAAGCCACCACAAAGTTAATAATAGAAAGATGAAAAAAAAGGTTTACAAGGCCACAGAGGGTGCTGTAAAGAATATTTCCACCTTGTTGCGTTTGGTGGACCACACGGAGGTCAACACATAAGCAGGCATGTATCCAGAGGTATGTCTCTTACACTGATCTGCTGCTATGATCTTCAACTATATTCAGTTCATTAACGAGAAATCCCCGATCCAGTGGAACTTCAGGTTGGCCAGATTCTGAAAAGCAAAACACACAAACGTCAGTGTTCCTAATTCCTTTGCTGATCAACCCACTCATCGATCGCAGACAGACTTCACCATGTTCCTTGCAGAATAACCATCTCCAGCTATACAGGGAGACAAGTTTTTGTAAGCCTGTAACAGTTGAAGACTTATTTGTCTCTACAGTACTTTTGATAACAATAAGAAAAAAGAAAAATGATAATTAGAATGTCTTATTTGCAATTTGCCATGGCTTGTTCTGCTGCATAGTAGTTATAGTTACTCCTAGCATTTGTCTATGGTTGGTTGATTTTCTAATATATTTGTCTAGCTATAAAGTTGTAAACCACCAAGAGTAGCTGGTTTGCTAAATGGGTGGTATAAAAATCAAATAAATAATGTTCCTCATTGAACAGTTCCGGCCTAGGAAATACAAAAAGGATGTTAGAGAATGCTCACCAGCTGTGAGGACAGACGCAGCGTACTTGTATTTGTTAAATTCCAAGTATTCACGGATCAGTTCGTTGATGAGAAGATTCTCGTGGGACAACACAGGCCGTGGTTCACTTGGGTCATCCAGGGCATTAAAGACTTCTGCTCTGATCCTTGCTTTGATCTGCCCCAGCGTTCCTCTCTTCTCAAGCATATCTTTCAACACTTGGAGGGCAAAACCAAGCAAAGCTTCCATTACACAGAAATCCAAGTATCTCTGATCATTTCGTATTAGAATGGCACAGATTTCTCACTCCGCCTTTCAGTGGCTGTAAATCAGGGGTCTCAAACATGCGGCCCGGGGGCCATTTGCGGCCCGCCAGATGATAATTTGTGGCCCCCGCCTTGCATGACCCCCCTGAAGCGCCCACACGTCCTCTGCTGTCAAGAGTCAAAAAAAGCCTTGCCTCGCTCGCTGGCTCTCTCCCAAGACACCACCTCTTGTACCCTCCATCCAGAACTGCAGCTTGCCAGCCAGCCTGCCTGTCATGGTGGGGGTAGTTGCTGCTGCTGAGTGCACTTTTTTTGAGAGGGGCCCTCAGAGGAAGGTTGCCAGACCTCTGTGTGTGTGTGTGTTTGCATGTGTGCATGGGCATGCACATGCACCTGTGGGGGGGCCCCACCCCATTCTGTTTAATTTTGTGGGTACCAGTGGGGGATTTTCTCCTTTGGCAAGGCGAATTCTGTGAGGTTTTTTTAAAAAAATGATGTCGTGCCCTCCTCCCCCCTGCTAGGCAGTCGCCGGCACTCCCTCCCTTCTCTGCTTCTTCGTCCTGCTGGTGGTGGTGGTAGTGAAGAAGGAACTTGAGGGGGTCATGGCCGGCAACGGGGACTCACGCGCCCCTCCTCCCTAGAACCCCAGCTGGGCTAAGGAAACTCCTGGGGGGCTTCCTCGGGCTTTTGCTCCACTTGGCAGAAAATCTGATGCAGCCCAGCATCACCCAGAGTCTGCCTCCAGCGGCCCCCAGGTAAATTGAGTTTGAGACCCCTGATGTAAATCAATTTTGCCAGCCCATTTCCCCCAGCAAAGCAGAATGCGATGCAAGCCCAAGGAAAGGAAGTAAGACCATTCAGTTGTATCGGATGGCTACCCCTCTGTACCCAAACAAATCAAACCAGCCTCCCCCTTTCTACTGAGAGAGGAACACCTCTCCATTGTGGCTACAACTCCCAACAACACCCAAAGCAAACTTTTGCTGGCATGAGCAAAAATATCTCCTTAGCAGCAGACCCAGAAGGGGGGAAATCCCTTTTTTAAAGGACGGCAACTCCCAGATTTTTGGGGAGTCCAAGAGAAGAGCCCGCATTGCTAAGCTCTGCTCAGCGTCTGGGTCACAAGGCACCGACCAACAGGTGCAGCTTCCTCCCCTGGGTGGATGCAGCTCTCCCAGCTGAATGTCTGCCTGTGCCACAAAATTATTAAGGGGGCCGTCCTCCGTGGCTAGGCCGTGGAGGAGAGGAAGGGGAATTTCTTTTTAATTTGTAGCCACCCTTCCCATTGCAAAGAAAAAGGGACATTTCTCTCTCTCTCTTTACCCGCTTTCAGCTCTGTTACACTCGCCATCTTGGGAAGGGCAACCAGAGGCGGAAGAAGAGGAAGTTCCCGGATGTAAACAAACGCTACTCCGGGCAACCAACTGTGAAACGGGGCCACGCAAGCGCATTTAAGACAATGGGACGAAATCCCCCCCTTCTGCCCTCTTCTACTTCCCATTGGCTGTAAGCTCAACCAATCAGAGTTACTCGCATTTTTAACTGTTTCCTTTCCGGAATTGCCCACGTTTCCCCCCCTTTGGAAGGAGAACGTCTGACTCGCTGTAAACCCTATTTTTAGTTTACTCACGAGTAGATTCCCCGCCTCCCTTCTCAGCTTCTACCATGAGGCGTTGCTTGGCCGGCCACAATCCTTTGATTTTCGTTCTACAAGGCAGACATTCAACAGGTGCAGCCTCCCCTCCAGCCAAAAACAACCTCAGGGATTTTTAAAAAAGCTATGAAAAAGTCGAGAAAACCTGTCCAGCTTTTGCCTAAAGTCTCAAAGAGAACAGAAGGGACGACAAGCAAAGGATCGAAGGGAAGAGCCTGGGGGCCAACACAGAGAAGGCCTCTCTGCAAAAACATAGATGAAACTGGCTGTTTTGCTCCTCTCTGGCCTTTAATAATGACAGGACCGGGTGTGCATGTCCTCTACCTTGCCCCCCCCAAGCATGGAAATTAGTGCTAACCTGTCTCTAAAGGAATGTTATTAACACCTCTCACCCGCCATACTGTTTGCATCTTGTTACCTATCTGTTATTTACTTCTGTTTATATGAAACTAAAATGGCTAAATGGGCACTATTGGGCTTATCATTAAACGCAAGAATGCTAGGAAAAGAGTGGAGGCCAGTAGGAAACGAGGAAGGCTGAGCCTGAGATGGATCCACTCAACAAAGGAAGCCCTAAGCTTTAGTTTTCAAGATCGGAACAGGGCTGTTCATGGCAGCACTGCCCGGAGCTCATTAATTCATTTTCCTCTGGACTCACCAGGACAGTGCACCAAGAATCAAAACAAAACAGCACGGACGGCATAGCAACTGGCAACCGACCGATGCTAAGATAACGGCAACCGCTAGAAGCAATTAGAAAAGGCACGCTGGGAAAAGATGTCATGTCCAAAACATTGCCTCTGCTTCCATGCCCACAAAGTGTCTGTGTGCAATGTGTTTTTCTTAATGGGATAAAACATTAACTTTGATTTAAATGTGTATGTGTCAATTATTAAGTTTTATTTATTACCAGTAAACACTAGCATGTGGTCCATAACCTGAAAGGGCTGTTTTCTATTCTGTACGCTAGAGGGCATATACGTATGTATTTGTTTTCCTCTAGCTTTACAGCCATCAGGTCTCCTGCTTTTGCTAAGATTCTGTGGTTACTGATGACAGGAGCATCAGAAACCATCCTTCCTGCTGCATCTCCCAACAGTGATGCTGGTGGAGAGAGTGGTACAATGGAATCTGAGCTCCATCGAGGCGGCCATGCAACCTCCTTCCATGGCCCACTTTGACAACAGCTTGGTCTCCCACTGCTAGCTGGGAGGGATTTAAGGGACAGTTCAGCGAGTGACCTTCTGTCTACCCAAACCGAAGAACCACTTCTGCCTCCTAGTCTGTTCCTCTGCCTTGTGTGTGATAAAACTAAGTGGCAAAGAGGAAAATTAAATTTAAACAGATCTCCTTGCAAATCAGGTGGGACAGGAGTCTGGTGGGCGCTAAAGGAAGTACTGTACTGGTGGGCAGAATGGTACCCATCCGGGCCATTTGGGGGAATTCCAACCCCATGTTAAGGAAACAGCCTTAGCCAGAGAACTTCCGACTTCTAGCATGTGCACATTTGCAACGAGCAGGCATTCAGACTTTTGAAAAGGAAGTGATGTGAGGTGTGTGTTGTAGGGTGCAAAGCTTTTGATTAACCACACATACAGATGTGGTGTGCTGAAGCCTCACTTCTCACATCTGCCACGGTGCATTTCAAAGGCACCTCGCCTCATCTCATCACAAGATGGGGAGGCCCATAAATCCAGGATAGGCTTGAAACCATTTCTCCTCGCGTGCTCCAACTCTCTGGTATGGTGTTCTTTTAATGGGTCAGATCCCAACATGCGGAGCTTGGAAAAGTCAACTCTTGGCAACTATAATTGGCAGGGGTGCCCAGCTGCTTGGAAGAGCTGCTCGCTTTAGTTTTAAAAAAATCTACTTCCGATCTACGGCCATCCACTGCTTGACTGTAGCCCCAGTTTCAACAATGGTTGCTGCTAAGTGATCCACAACACCCGTTTCAAGGAGCAACCAGGAAGGCGCACCGTCCCCTAAATGTCCCACAGAATGCATTCATTTTATTTTATTTTCTTTCCTAAGGAAAGAATTGGCCCTTTTTATGGGCATTGGGGATGAAACTGATGTTTTCGTGACGGGTCCAAGACCTCTGTTGTCTCTTGGAAGCTTGCTCCTTCTGTGGAGAGGGGGATGCTAAGTCAAGACACATGTTGTGAGATGCGGTGTGCCACCTAATACCCCCTTCTTGTCTCAACAGCTGTTCAGTTCAGAAAAAATGTTCTCCTCGTGAACGGTGTGCCCCATGTAGGTCAGCGGGATGTGTTAGTGGAAAAATGTCAGGGGATGGATGGCTTTGTTTAGGCATTTGGAAACATTTCGTATTAGAGCTGGGTTGCTTTGCTCTCCTTTGGAAAAGTCGCCCACTCTGTTGTCAAGTTGAAGGTCAACCTGACAATTGTGCTGCATAACACATCGGTTATTTCCCCCCTCCCTTTTCTCTGCAAGAACTGAGGGTGCTGTAGGCAAAAGCTCTCTGGAAAGGAAATAAAAAGACATTTTACGGCTCTTTACCTTGCCACTTCGCTCCCTGGCTCCGGTTTTACACTGGCTTCTGTTATAATATACACACACGTCCAGGATGGTGTTTTGTACTGTATTTTCATCACACTGCTGTTTTGGGTCCTTTTGGGGGGAGAAAGGCAGGACTGAAATATGTTAAATAAATAAATAAATAAAAATCACTCGGCTGGAATGACCTTGGGCAGGGGCCTACCTCACAGGGCTGTTGTCAGGACAAGGTGGCGAGAGAGGCTGAGAGCCCAAGTGGTTTCATCAGGATCATAATGTAGCCAATCAATTAATCATGTAATGAAGGCTCCAGTAATTACTTCACGGAGGCTTTCCCTTGCTGACGGCCTGCTTGGGTTTTTTTTTAAGTGGTCCTCGGTGCCTTGTTGTGGCTTCAAATCTGTTTTTTCTCCTTGGGGAGTTGGAAGTTTCCCACTTTAGTGTGCTCTTTGGCTCTGTTTCAATATTTGCACACTTCCTTTCTGGCGCTTTCAAATACCCTCTTTTTAAAAAAGAAAACATATGCTTTTTAAGGGGGCTTTTTAAGCAGTAAGGCAGACTGGAAAACCTTTGAAACCAATACATTTAAACCAACCCCCAGCCCTCTCCCCCCACCCTGTGAAACGCCACTCGGGAGGTGGGCTGTTGGGCCGAGACCCCGTGGGGGGGGTCCTCCCTCGCAGGGCTGTTGTGAACCAAAGTAGGAACGAGGAGAGCCCCAAACTCTTCAAAATCAGAAGAAGAAGAAGAAGAAGAAGGCTTCCCAGTCCTGCCCTTCCTGGCAGGGACCCCCGTCCCCCTCCCTCACAGGGCTGTTGTGAGGAGGCAGCCGGGGGGGGATGCCAGAGGGGGGGAGGAGGGGTGCATTACCCTCTTTCTGGGGTCCCTCCCTCTCGGTGGCTGTGGTGAGGAGAGGGGGGCCGAGG